CATTGCCCTGAATCTCGAAGAACAGAGCTGAGCACATTGGAACGCAGCAGCTGTCCATAACAAGGAGCTAATCTTCAATCCGACCACAGAATCCCCTGTCATGGACTTGAAACGCCAAGAATGGTCGATATTAAACAGGATTCGAACAGGACAAAGGCGCTGTGGAGACCTACTCCATCGCTGGAAAATGAAGTTCAGTGTAACTGCGGTCATGAAGATCAGACCATGCCGCACATTTCTGAATGCCCGCTGCGAAAGTTCGACGGCTGCATAATTGATGTCCAAAATGGCTACCGCTGCAGCCGTTCACCGGATTAGAAATCCTGACATTGAGCTATAAAGTTGCTAGTCACCTCTTTCCCACTCTCCCCAGCCATACGACTGGAGTAAATATCTTCACATCCAACAACTCATTTGAACTCAAACATACTGTCCTAGTATCCTGATCGACCTGAACAGTATTTTTGCGACAACGCAGTAACGCAAAATTTAATTTAAATTTTTGTAACTTCTCAGATGGTAACGGGTATCTCAGATCAGAGGAAGTTACTGATTCAGGCCGCTCTGCCTGATTATAACACGCAAATGTATGACGTTGCTTTCAGTTTTAAGTGTAGCTGAAAAGATATATCCTTTTTGCTGTAGATATGCTGTGGTCACTGAAATTGATACAGTATCCTGTTCCAGAACGTGAATTTACACAAGATGCTTATCATTTATAAGTGTTTCACTATCATACGCAGAGCATTCCACTGGTTTGGTTGTAAGCTGATAGCGCAAGTCGTATGAGCTGTTTTCAAGTTGCTAACCATTTCTTTCAAATCTGGCGCAGGGCGGTAGAACAGAGGGAAGTCATTGTTTTGTTTCTTTGCTTTGGAAATGTGGATTCGACGCGTAGCATGGCATAGGATTTTTTTTATTGCTAATTTTTTTAAATAACGAAATGAATTCACTCAAGTGTTCCTCGCTGTCACACTGTGGTTAGCAAATTGGTAATCTCTGAACTATTTGGAAATATATTGTTTTGGTGTTGTTGTGCTAGAGCTTGAAACATTTATAATCATGCTGTTTAATGCACGTACTTCACTGCAGCGTCCGACTCGGCAGCTCATTTACTTAATCGATAAAGGTTTTATCTGCAAATGAATAACTCGGTCAGTTAGTCAGTTTCGATGACCGCTTATCCTTTTTGGTCGCAAAGCATACGTATCAGAGAGCGTGTGCAACATTCTTTATATTCTGTTAGCGATTGAACTTCGACAGAAGATAAACCAAGTCTGAAGTAGAGTCCTTCCATGCATTTGTCCCATGTTATTCTTGGCTGCCTCCGGTGTCTTCGGCCAGTCGCTTGGAGACGAAGTCGCTCTTTCTCCTTCCTTTCTGATTGCCCTACGCAGACCTGCCCAGACCATCTTAGCTATGATTTAGCAGTCGTCCCAAGAAACTGCGGCTGTACACAAAGGCTCTCTCAGGTATCTGAGCTCTGAACCACGTCTGAAAGTTTTAGGCTTAAACCGCGTCTACTCCTACAAAGGTACTCCATTTTCCATTTTACAAATGTACACGATTAACACGGTTAATGGTTGCGCACAACGAATAACTACCAGTACTGTTTACATTAAGCATGAAACTATAACGACTGCGCCTTTTTC